ATCGCGATTTGTTTGGCATCTCAACTGATTTGAATCGTCACATATTTGAATCGATTTTCAACCGGCTCGTGGTTAATCGTTACATCCAAAAATACAAAAAAATTTATTTTTTGATGCACAGTATATTATAAAACTTCAAACCTTTGCAACCCTCCTGCATTAAACATGAAAGTGCCCCTAGATAACAATAACACAAGACTACACTGCTAAATTAAATTACACCAGTTGTTAGACTAGAAAACACTGAAGATGTTAAAATTAAACTATACTCCATAGAAATGCCAAATTAAAAAGAAAAAAATACATATATACGTTATATATATATATATATATATATATATATATATATAGTACCATTATCTCTATTGTTGGGGCCAAGTCACAAATCATGAGTAATACAAAATGTTGGATACCGGAGAAATGCATGTTGAAAAATGATGCAGGGCAAGATAAAAACAAGGCACTGCTTATTGGGGAACACTGAGTGAAGCCTGCTGGGATTCTGCTAGAATTTAAGCCTATTCTCCAAACACACACACACACATTGCTTTTGTACCGTATGTTCTCAGTTATTGCAGTGAGGACTGATCAGACACATAGACTTACAGGACACATATACAGTATATAGACGCAAACACACAAACAGATACTGAATATGACAAAAAACTAAAAGTGAAGTTTATACTCACATGTACCATGTGTGCTTCTGTATCTGTTCTAACTGTAAAGAGAGGAAAACACATGAGCCAATCCATTATCTAACCATTACCAGAGCCAAACAAAGACAGCAGAGCATGACAATAAAAGCAATGAATCCATCTCTAAACGTCAGGCAGTTTCCTGCTGGGCGTCTCTAATCTCTCTCTCTCTCTCTCTCTCTCGTGTCGCATCCTCTGATCTCCCCGGGTTTAAAGTGTGGAAGCTACAAAGACATGTACATTTCGGCAGCCAGCTAATTAAAGCTGTGGCCCACAAAACAAGAACAACAGCCTTAACAGCTGCAGCCCATCAGAGTGAATGGTTTTTGTGCCTGTTCATGTAATACCAACAGAAATATCTTTAAGATGAACTGAAATCAGTCTCAATAGTTGTTAGCAACAGATGTGTGTCTGGTGTGCGTCTTTTCAGGAGCTATAAAAATTCAGCACTTGACCTGATCAAGAAACTGTGAGGAATGACACACTGAACTGGAATGTTCAAACAAAATACTTGCTTGCGGCTGAGAGTAAAAATAATTTTACTTTATGGCTCTGAATAGGCTGAGGAGAAAATTCACTGTATAGTTACAGCACTTTTGCACACAGTATTTCGTCATATTCACTAGCCATCTGTGATATCCAGTTTTCAGTGCTCCTTTCTATGTAAATTAGGCTTACTGTAAATATTTTTCACAAAAGTTACCACAATTAATGTCACTTATTAATGTCACAAAGATGGCATTTAAAAACCCACTAGGGGGCCCAAATTTCCAAAGCCTAATTTTAAAGCTGTGATTTCTTTTTTTGTGCATTTTGTCAGGTTTCTGGTGTGTCTGCCAGCTCAGAAAAGCTGAAAAGAAAACACGCAGCCAGTTTGTTATGGGCTGTATTGCGATCAGCAATATAGCTGCAAGAATTGCAGTTATACATAAATTGTGCTGTGCAAACTGTATTTAGCACAGATTTGGGCCTTTAAATTATTTTAGAGAATCAGGTGCTACAACAAAACAGACAGTATTCTATTATTCTATGTGATCTCCCCCTGAATGTGTGCTGACGTGACAGTGTTCAAGAAACAATGATGATACATTGTCCAGATCAGTGTTTCCCCACCTTTTTTCTGCCGCAGCACAGTGGTTGGGAAACACTGGTCCAGATGTCTGTAAAACTGTAGTACTTTTTGTACTCTGCAATACTCTATTGGGTTGTTTTAATTGGATCTATAAGATAATATTTCAAACTGGCAATAAGACAGTATCAACTTCCTTCCCACTCTGGAATTATACAAAATATCTCTTTTATATAACTGACAAACCGCACAGGAAATGGGCTATGTTTGGATCCTTCCTAGGAGAGAGCTATTGTTTTCAATCACTGAGATATGTGGGCAGTGAAGACAGTGATCTGTTTTCTCTGGAAAGCAAAAAAGGAAACTGGAGCATTTCAAAGGGTTGGTATTAGGACAAGCTTATAAACCTCTCATCACTCCAGCATGTTATAGGAAAAAGGGGCGCTGCTCCGAAGCAGAACAATGAAAATAGTAGCTGAGGGAGAAGAGCAGAGAGACGAGGAGACCATGAAAGAGAGAAAGAAAGAGACAGACAGAAGCGCAGACACGCAAGCATTTTGAAGCTGATGTGTGTGATCCGGACAGACAGGGTGGTTGGATTAGTTCTGCTCTGTGTTGACCTGGAGTGACAGCTCAAAAGCAGATGAGCTCTCAGACCCATAACACTCATTTAATAGAAATCAGCTTAATATACTGTAGACGTCTGTGGAACTGAGCAGCCAACCAGCTTCTATAGACAGTGTAGTGCACATTTAATGCTGTCACCACCTATGATTCCTTAGGCCACATGAGCCATTTAAGAGATAATTCATCTTTTTTATTCAGGTTTTACAAGATTTGAATGATGTTAGTATAAGATAAAACTGTAAATCTGAGCGCGATGACGCTGGACCCTGACCGTGAATCGTTTGGTGGCGTCCACCTCGATCATCCCCCTCAGTAGGTTCTGGCAGTCTGGAGGAATGAAATGGGGCATGTGAAAGACCCCAAGCTTCACTTTCTCCAGCAAGTTCCTCAGGTTATCGTCGTCAAATGGCAAAGCACCCTGATAGAGAGAAATATTACATGTTAGAATTGTAATCAATCATATATACTGTGTGGGACAAAATCCCCCCAATATTCAGAATAATGTCAACCAATATGTATATTTCAATGGCTAAAGTCGATAAGATTTTAAAAATCTTTTATGCTCACCAGGGCTGCTTTTACGTGTATTTTTATGCAGTAAAACCAGAAATAGTGTGAAATGTTATTACCATTCAAAAGAACTGTTTTCCAATATATTTCCAAATGTAATTTATTCCTGTGATGGCAAAGCTGAATTTTCATTAGCCATTACATTCAGCGTCACATGATCCTTCAGAAATCATTCTAATATGATGCTTTGGTGCTCAAGAAACATTTCTTATTGTTGAAAACGATTGTGCTCCTTAATATTGTTATGCTACTGTGATTTTCTTTTCAGGATTGTTTGATGAATCAAAAGAGCAGGAATTATTTGATATATAATATACATTTTTGAAACAGTGTAAAAGTCATCACTGTCACTTCTAATCAATTAAATGCATCCTTGCTGAATAAAAGTATTAATTCCTTGAAAAATAATATTATCACATTTTAAAAATAAATAAATAAATAAATAAAACAAATAAAATACATTGTAATCATGTTTTCCCTTGAGATTTGGAATTACAGAGGGGCATGGATCAGTATATAAACAAATAATGGCAGAATTGAAGGAAGAGGAGTGATAAATGCGTTGATAAAAATAAAACACCCCCACCATATTTTAGAGAGCTTTATGAAGGATATCTACACAGGAAGTAGGATGCAAAATAAATCAAGAAAAGGCTGGCATAGAGAGATGATTGTGCTTTGATAATTAGCTTTGTTTTGTGCCAGATACACTTCATAATTTTCACATCAGAGAGACCCATCAGGGCCCCTGCCACTACTGAGATGTCAGAGCTTGATAAATGACAGAAAATGCAAAAGCATGACTGACGACAGGGCCACGTAATAGATGATATAATCTAGCAAAAACTAGCAAAGTAGAGAGATGATAAATAAAAAAGGATGCAGATCGCATCTCTAATGAAAGGTCTTCGAGCATTGAAAGATCAAAGAGCAGGTTCCTGGTTGCTAAAGTTGATCAGCAGCTTGGTGTGACCATACGTGTCCACTGGTGCGGAGCTGAGTGGGCATTTTCAGTTTGTTCTCTGCTGGAGCTAAGCAGCAAGGCTTGCATGGGGGATTGTGGGATTGACAGCCGAGCCGAGTAAGCAGTGAGAATGTCAAAAAGTTAAGAAATGTTTAACTTTATGCAAATGAGAGAAAAAAATGCAGGATGGCAACCAATCACTGTGAGGTGAAGACAGCGACACCTGTCATAAGCAGTTCAAAATCTGCTGCTTCTTTTTGGTGGATTCAGAACATATACTTACACATTATTGTATTTCATTCAGAAATGAAAGGGTTTTTTATGCTTTCGTTTTGGCTAGGTTAGCAAAAGTGTATTAAATTGATAATGTGTGTAAACTTTGGCAATTCAGAAACAAATGTATTTATTGTACAATGTAATGCATGTTGTAACCAATGTAAACTATTTATTTATTTATTTATTTATTTATTTGATCAAAAGTACACAAATGTTTTTGAGCACCAAATCAGCATGTTAGAATGATCATGTGACACTGAAGACTGGAGTAATGGCTGTTGAAAATTCAGCTTTGCCATCACAGGAATAAATTACAAACAGGAATAAATTTTCAAATGTATTAAAAAAAAAGGAAATTATATTTTAAATTATAATAATATTTCACAATATTTTTTTCACAATAATTTAACACAATATTTATGTTTTTACAGTATTTTTCATCAAATAAATGCAGCATTGGTGAGCATAAGAGACCTCATCAAAAATCCAGCCTACCACAAACTGAGATTTGTAAATGTCTGTCAAGAACATGTCACTTGAATTTTAGTTTAATTCCCTCCTCCAAGAACTTGAAGTATTTTGCAGTCTAAGGAAGAGTAAGAAGATGAAAGTGGATTCATAAAACGCTCAGCATGATGAATTAAAAGAGCTGATCTCACTCAGGTCTGATATAAAGATGATTCACCAGCCTGAGTGAGAAACCATGGTGGAGCTTTGGTGTTGTCAATCTTTTGAGCTCTGACTACAGAGCCGGTATAACACCTTGATGCTCTTAAAGCCCAACTCTTGCTTAGCTTAGCACTGAAATATCCTTGGATTCTCCCACATCCTTTGATAGACCTTCATTCAAACACAGGGGATTTCTTTTTTCCAATGCATGCTGCTGAGAGAAATTTGTCATAAGGGCAGAGGGCCATTACAGCAGAATTATATGACACAGAATGAAGTCTCTGCCACGAAAAGCTTTCACTCACCACCAAAAGTGCAAAGAGAATGACTCCACAGCTCCACACATCAGCTTTCCTGCCATCATATTTCTCCCCCTACCAGAGAAAGAAGTTAGAAGTGGAAAGAAAGCGATTCAGAGGAAGTCCCATCATGAGAGATGCCACTGAGAGCACATACTTACCCTTATAACCTCTGGGCAGGCATAGTGAGGGGATCTGAAAGAAAACAGGACAATATGTCATCATCATCCTCACCCAACCTTGGCAAAAACACCCATTAGAGAGGAAACACGCAGGACACTAATTCAGTAATAACTCCTTGTGTTTGCATGAGGATCTTCACACCATCTTTTCTGACAAACAGCTCTATGTCTAACCACCCTATACATGCTGTTGTCAAATGTTCCAATAATACAACATTAAATTGTAATGACTTTCTCCTGGGAATGTGTAAAACAGATCTGTAATCATCTGAATTGTGTAATGTATTTTAACGGCATGGCACATAATCAGAAGCAGTTCACTATTTTTCAACACCAATTTTCTATAAATGCCTGTTTCATTGCAGGTGTCATAAACCATTATGTTGATTGAGTGTGAATTGATAAAACATTAATTTAATGGTTTACTTTCTCTGCTTTAAAAACATAACTACTGCTCACTGTAGAGAAAGCTATTATTGCTGTTTTCCAACACCAAATTGCAAGGTTTTTATACTAAATTAAGTCGTTAATGCAACATGCTCTCACTCAGTAATTTCAGTGCTTCTGTGCCCATTTTATACATAGCTGGTGCCTCAATCATTCTGGGTGGAAAGACATAAGCTAAAAAATAATGTGATGAAACAAAGTAATATTGTTTCTGTGAATACGTCTGAGTATGCATACACACATTTGTTTTGCACACTCATTTCTCGACTGCAATATTATAAAAAATGGTAACACTTCACAATAAGGTTCAACTTGTTAACATTTTTTTAAACATTACATATCACGAACTAACAATTAACAACATTTTTACAGAATGTATTAATCTAGGTCAATGTTAATTTATAAATATACTATTTTTTGTTGTTAATTCATATTCATTCATAATATGTAATCTAAAGTTGTCTTTACGCAGCCAAGTTAGGGCTGCTCTATACCTACTCAAAATTCAGAGTAAAGACATAATGCCACATAAAAGCCAGACTGAATTATGCCTGCTTTGACCCACCTCAGCTTCTAGTATCAAAGTATACAGCTGTAATTGCTTTTGTAAATACATTTATGCCAATTCTTAGTAAAGACACTTAAATGGCACTTCTGAAGCGCTTCTGTGCCATCAGTGTAAATTTGGCATAATTTATACAACTTTAAATGCTAAAAATGTATTACTAAATTTATAAATTAATATTAACCTAGATTTATAAATTCTGCTAAAACAATAATAATTGCGTATTGTTAGTTTATTGTTAGTTTATGATACCTAATGTATTAAGTAACATGAACTGAAATGCATTGCAAAGTGTTACCAAAAAATCTACTCCATATTTAGCAACATGTTAAAATTAAAAAAATGTTAACAAGTTTAACCTCATTGTGAAGTGTTACCATTTTTTATAATACTGCAGTCGAAAAATGAAGCCTGATTTCTGTATGTGTACCCTTTAAAAACCAGTCTCCTATGACAGGGCATTTAGTTAATTGCTATGACCTTACAAATGCTACTCCCTAGCGATCAAAATGTTTATAAGATCATACTGAGAAATTCACGTGTGCACTACAAACAGATACAGTACACTCCACCTCATAATCATGCAAACAATCACTGAAATAAGAATATTTCTGCAGAAGCCTGATTTCTGCATGTGCGTCATGGATATCCCCTATGATAGGAACATGAGGGAGGATTGATATGGCAAATCAGGGAAGCCACAGGAGGTGATTAAGCTGTTGTGAAAAGACCCTGATGGAGAGGAGTTACTCATCTAGTCCAAGATGTGGTTCATGATTTTTTGAAGATATTTTCTATTATTTCTCAAGCACTGTTGTTCTGACTTAGGGGCAAGCTGGTTAAAGAGTCAAACACAGTGAAATAAAACTCTTTTTCTTTTGACATTAGCATGGTTTTCACTCTGAGCTAATCTGACTTTGTGCTAGTTAGCTAGTGCTGGTTATGCCTCAGAGAAAAAAAGTGGCAAAGAAAGGTTTCTTTGATGTTATTATCAAACTTGCAAGCTTAGGGGACCCAGAGTAATGGTCCAAATAGGACCAGTGGTACTAGGGAATTTTGCACTGTATTGTGGGTAATCTAGTTTCACTTGAATGAAGGATCTGGAGGGGGATCTAATTAAATTGACTGGATTTCCAGGCAGCCTTGGACATTTCACTCAAAATTACCACTGGGTTGCAAACATGGCAGAGACTTTTCAGAACTAAAGCTATTTCAAAATTAGGTCAGTCCATCTGCTAAGCAAGGAATGAGCCTCAGATACAAATGAATGAATGCCTGGAACATAGATACGACTGGGAGGCTCCGTGTTGGTCTTCCTGCCATGCTGTGTTCACACGTAAGGGGTCTGCCCCTTTCAAATTCAACTGGAGTCCATTAACCGTGGTAAACAGAATACATTTGTGTCAAGCGGACAGCATACGAGAAGGCTAAAGATGAATGTGTTTAATTAAAAACTGTCGTATCTGTCTAGAGATGGGAAAGTCACAATCAGTAATTACAACATGCCTTCTTTGAAGGAAACCATCAAAGCCATGGCACAATTTTAGTGATGGCTAATAGGAGCAGAAATACACAGACTGAAGTCAAAGCTATATGGTCTGGTCACTCGGGGCGGATTTTCAAGTCTTGATTAATCCCCATCTATGATAATATGCTCTGCTCTGTGGCACCTAGCCCTCTCGTTTTCATTGATAATGGGGCCTCTAATGGCATGCATTACACATTCAAAGGGACTATGAAAGCCTGAGTAAGGTCAGGCCATCATCGTCATAATTTTCACTAATAGTAGCAGTTCAGGAAGTGCTTTAGTGGCAGCAGGCCCAGCCGAGTGTCTCAATGCAAGACTTAGTCCTTCAGATATAGCTATCAGTTGTTAATATGGAGCCATTTCTCCAGCTCTTTTCATAATGAAGCATGCAAATAAACCAAGAGGTGCATTTGTGCATTAAACTATTAATGGGAGTGATTTTGCTAGTTTTCAACTCATGCATTATCCAGATGTCTTAATATCATCTCAAGATGATGCTATTCTTCTCAATGGCCATTTAATGTGAAGGGATTGTCTATGCAAGTCAAACCTTATGCTTTGATTGGTATTTTGATCTGAACAGAATCAAACAATTGCATGAGCATGCACTGTTTTTAGCCAAATGAAGCAAAATTGTACCTGATTATGAAATTCTTGTTTTGCGAGAAACTTTCATGTATACTGGTAATTGTTGCAGGAAAACAGAGTGTGACTCACCCACAGCTGGTTTCTAAGAGACTCTCTCCAACCTGTAGAGAAGCCATGCCAAAGTCTGCTATCCTGATGTTATTCTTCTCATCCAGCAGCAGGTTCTCTGGCTTCAGGTCTCTGTGGCTACAAAACAAAATGCTTAAGTTATAAACCTCTACACATTAGCAGCTTTCTTAAGTGTCTCTTAGTCTATGGTATAAGGGTCAATGGCATGTTATGTATTTTTCTTTAATTTAATTTATTTAATGCATTATAATGTATTCAAATAATGACTTGAATACACCTCTATGAGGAACATGTTTTTAATTAATTAATCTATATATTTATTTATTTTATTTTTGGCATAAAGTCAAAAGTGTCAGGGTATCATAATATCACAAATGTATCACAAATGTCCTGATATCATAATGAAGAAAATACAATCCTTCAAAATAACTTGCCCTGCAGTAAGTTTCATTATTAATTCTCAGAAAAAAAATACTTTTAACCAAAGTGATTCGCTGCTTATTAATATTTGCGGGGGGGGAAAATTATATTTGAAAAACTAAACTACGGTTGACGTGTAAACCTCCAATGAGCAAATGGATCTATAAAGATGTTTGTGGGGTTTTTTTTATTAAATGATCCAGCTTAACTAAATTTCTTATTACTTATTTAAGCTGCCAGTATCAGACTTGGCCCCAAATCTCTTGATCAGACATCATGGGAAACATCTAGATACTCTCTACCATTGTGAAATCCTCTGATCTGAAGATAAAAATTCAGAGCTTTCTTTGCCAGTGTCAAGGAGCGAAGCCTCTTTCATCCTGAGCGGGCAAGTGATCGAGGAACACAAGACCATTTTCGGCCCAAGAGATCAAAAAGCAGCTTGTACATCTCAAGTATCTTTCAAAAGACAGCTGATCGTGACCTGTGAGCCAATGTGCTTTTACTGAAGCTCATCATTTGGGATGATTTGGCAACAACAACTGGCCAATAATTGTTGGTGGGATAGAAACGTGACTTGAACCAGAAATACTGTCCTCCTCCTCCTCTTGCCGCAATAACTACAACTGCACCAAAGCAACCCTAACCGTTCTGAGAACTCATCAACCATCTGCAACCTTAGTGAACAACATCAGAAATGAAAACATCTGCCAGGCACCTAATTACTTGATCACAAGATAGGAAGACAGTCAGAGAGGGATCTTGTCAATATTATCAATGCATTGTAGTCAACTCTCAAGTAGTACTATGTCGTCACAATCAATACATTATTAGCAGTAAGCATAGCTTTTAAAATGCACACATTTGCATCTAAAAAAAGGCTCTGTACAGTATGTTGGAGATGATGCCAAAAAAAAAATAATAATAATAAAATAAAAAATGTGACTGCTGGATGCACCAGCTATAAAAGACCTGGTGTCTATTCACCCAGCGATAACCAAGTTATTGCAAAGGTTAAACACAGACCGGCAATAAAGTTCTTTACTACAACGATTGATTCATCTTTCCCATACCAAGGCAACCAAGCAGAAGGAGGAGCTCTCGGTAATGGAAAGATAGCATGCGGGTCCCGGTCAATACTAGTGTGTGTTTACTGAGAGGCTCTTCTGATTACATGCCAGCAAGAGACTGAATGAGTGAAGCAGGACCGACTGCATGATCTCTGGGTATCAGGGACTGCAAGTATTGCCAGACACAATCATAAACGTCCTTTCAAAAATAAACTCATCGGCTTGTTTTAAACACAGTAACCTGGTGCTATACAAATCAAGCCTGCAAATATTCTATAAAAACATGAAGTGCTCCTACCTATAAAAGCACCTAACCCCCAACTCTAAAGCCATTTTGCTGCTCCTTCTCTCATTATAATGCCTGAAGTGCAAGGAAGTCTCATTATGTGATGTCTAATTATGAATGCTCAGGATGAAAAGGCATCAAAATGAAAGTGAACAGCTTCAGAAAGAAGATACTTTGTTCTATTAGGCAAACTAGATGCCAAAACATACCAGCCACCAACTCAGTTCTGAGAGATCAATATAGAAAAAACACAAGGAGTGGGCATTGATTTGATTTTATAAATTTATTTGTTAATTTTTCAACAACCTTCCTCAAAACCCCCAGACACTGGGCTCTTCCCCCCTTAGTAAAGTGCACATGGCATTTAATGGCACATGGCATCAGTGGTTTGTGGAAACTGAGGTGTCCAGCCGACCTTCCATTATGCTCACATTAGTGCGCTTTCTCTCTGGTCCTCCATCATTACACTTTACGTAGGTATGGAGCTGTGTGAAATGGGTGGTCATTATCTTCCCAGACAAAGTAGAAGTTCATGGAACCAATAAACACAATCCCTTTTTGAGGAGAATACTAGTGTCCCCGCTGTGAGGTTGCTGTTATAGTCGCAATTAATCACAGAAAAAGTGTGTGATTAATCTGATTAAAAATGTTAATCTACTGACAGACCTAATATATATATATATATATGTATGTATGTGTGTGTGTGTGTGTGTGTGTGTGTGTGTGTTCCTACATGGTTCCTTTAGAACAGTCCTCTCGTACCGCTCTTCATTCTTCTCCTTTATTTAACACACCTGATTCAGATCATCAGCTTGTTAGAAGAGAGCTCTGTGCATGAACTGTGTTCCAATTGACAGGGTCCCTACACAGTGTTCATTGCTCCCTACTCCACTGAGCATGGGAAATATTTATTCACGGATTTGCGCTACACCTCTGCCTGCAGCGTCTTCACACAGATGAAACTTACTAGAGAAGTGTGAAGTGTGACATAATACACATCTGTAAATAAATACAATTTAAATTCACGTCTTGCACACTTTAATGCCTTTTCAATGGAACATATACGTTCCCTTCGAACTGGAATCATGGTGGAATATCCTGTGAAGTCCACTTCGCAGAGCACTTACGGTAGGGTGACCAAAAGTGCAATTTTTCCGGGACACGTCCTCGCCAGGATTTCTATATTGCCTAAAATACTAAATACTAAAAAAAGGTTTTGGCTTTGTTTTCCTGTTTTCATACTTGCTGAAGGTAATGATTAAAAAAAGTAGTTTGACCAATACCATGCAGGCATTGTACGTAATCGATCAATCGTGGTGCGTGAGAAGGTGGGATCTACAGAGAAGGGTCAAAGCGATGCAAATACACGTACATATTAGGTGTGTTCGACTTGAAGCAGCGCTGTGCAGACCGATCGGTGTTTGACATCAAAGTACCGCAAGAGCGATTCAAAAGCACAAGGAGCCGACTGCTCTCTATAGCTCTCACGGTGCTTTGAGGTCATACAAAGATCAGTCTGCACAGCACAAACAAAGGCAAAACCTGCATATTTTAGGCAATATAGAAATCCTGGCCAGGACGTGTATCAGAAAAATGGCACGTGTGGTCACCCTAACTTACAGTCAAATAGAACAAATGTCTGAAGTGATGAGAGATACATACAAAATGTGCAGAACAAAGGGTCGCAAGGACTGGAATTGAGAACCACTGCTTCAGAAGTAAATATATTATAGATCCTGTACATACATCTGCTTTAAATCTGCAATATATAAAATAACTGAAAAAAAAAGTCTTAAATACACAAAAAGACTGCTTAAATAATATATGTTTGAGAGACTTTAAGGAATAGACATACAGTCTGTTCAACATGAGGTACTGTGTACCTGGTGCCGACAAAACATAGCAAATATGTCTTTCCAAAAATGTTCTAGTATACAAAAAAAGTCCAGAAAACACAATATAACCTGGAAACTTGTGACAGTAACACAGATCACAGCGTCGTTTTAATTCACGTATAATGAAATATGCTATCTACCCTGACTGAGGTCCATCTGTTGAGGTTTTAATGGCCACCAATATCTCTCTGTGCCTTTCTCTGTGTTGTCCTAATTTCTATGCCCCCGGAATTGCACATTCATCTCTGTACACAGAGCCCATATTTTAAAGCACTGAAATATGCCAACCAATAACTACTGCCATAAAAAAAAAACAGTTCATCTTAGAACTAAAGTTAAGAAATCGCACACCTCCACACAATCTACAATCACAACCTACATAGGCTACTCATTAAATTCGATGCCAATATGCACTTCAGACTGCACTGCTGACCTCTACATCTGTCTTTTATTCTAGAATGGAGCAGGCAACATTGCATAAATGCACCCAATAATCAAATCAACTCTCACACTTTCAACAGGGCAAAACAGCACTCCCACTGCTAATGCATGTAGCCAGAAGCATTCCTCATAAAATGCACCAAAAATATATCAATCTTCACATCCAGACACTGGGAACTACTTACATAAACAGAGAAACCCCATGTGAGGTTCAGGCCCAGTTACTTAGACTTCAGTTAACTTGGTTCAACTCTTTTCTTCTTGTGTACCTGACAGCGCTTGTGACAGCCTTGATTCAGACTTTAGTCGTTCTGCCTGTCCTCACAGTGGGGCCAGAAAGCCATAATTTTATCCCTGTGAATACAGTGGTAGCAGAAGGCTATCAATACTGCACATTATCTGTGGCGGTTTCAAACCCCAGAGAGGAAAATGGCTGCGAATGAGCAGAAGAGAAAACGAGTGATGCCTCCCTGCTATGCTGTTTATTCAGTGCCTTCCATCACCTATCAAGAAAGGCCTTCAAACCATCCATCAGCTAGTTGAGCTGTGCTGGAAGCATGCGGCAGTCTTCATTAGGCTGTGCGTCTGCTGAAGCGCATGGTAAACAGATGCAAATATTGTGCTAATGGCTGCCCCTTCAGTGCATTAGTATATTAGCATATGAAGAGGACATGGTCGTGAGAATTCAAATGGAAACATTATTAGCATTAGCGATAGCTCTTAAGGTTGTGAAAAATTAGGGCGAATTACAAACAGCTTTTTTGCACCCTTGAAGAGCACTTTGGGAAGGGGATGCCATTTGTAGGGACGTTCCAAACGAAAGTGAACAACTGAATCCCTTCACGAAGGGCCCTTCCAGAAGTCCGTTAGCAAAGGGAACATGCGATGGTCACTTCACGGAAGTGATTTCCGTTTGTGATCATGTGATCTTGCGATGCTTTTTAAAGCAAGGTTGGGCTTGATTTCGACTTCACATACAAACGTAAATAGAATAGGCTAATTAAATTTGTCTATTTTAATGTAATACAAAATAATTTTCGTCAGTGATAGAAATATGATTTAAGATGGTAGTGTAAGCAAGTTTGAGCAAGTTTAGTTTGAAAAAGTTTAATAGTAAATGAGACACAATTAGACAATATTTGAATAAAATAATAATAAGAAATATTTATTTATTTCCAACAAGTGATGGAGTGCTGAATGCTGCATGCATGAGCAACGTTGTCAAGGTAACATGTGGTCAGTCATTCCCTTGGTCAAGGGAGTTCCAAACACATATACGAGACAGTAATGCCCTGCACCCTTCAAAGAACGCACTACAAGGGCTCTGCCCTTCGAAGGGAGTAGGGCATAGGGATGCTTCATTCCGTTTGGAATTCGCCCGTAAAGTGAACTTCTCTTAAATGAAACATTTAGGACTACAGTGGAAAACAGGCTGCCATCCAACTGTCTAGTTTGTCACTGTTCTGATGTATGATTTATGAAGTTATGTAGAGTAATACTATGTTCGTTGGACAGGTTCCAACTTATTGAAAAGGGATCATTTTAATTTACAAAATATTTAAGTAAAATCCACACTTTTTTCCAACACAATGTAAGATTGTATCCTACAGTCACAAAATAAAATCTTGATAGGGGAATTGTCATTAAGCATTGCTATATAATAATCAATATGAAAACAATATGAAATTCTGAAAATTGACCACATTAATTATACATTATTTCAGATTTTTAAAGAATTTTCTTTTTGTGAATTGGTAGCTTTTTATTTCCACATCATGTCCAGTTCAAAAATTAGTTAACTGTAGTATAAACAAATTAAACACTTTAAATCATTTAAAATAAAAATAATGTTTGTTGTTTCAAGTAATGTATGTAGTTTTAAAAGATCTAAAGGTAAATAAAAAATGGCAATCCAAACATCACTGATTAATAAAGAATAATAATAAACCTGGTGCAACTATTGGCTGCTTCTTTTTAATGAAATAAATTCTGTCTTGATCCATTGGCAAGACAAGATCAAACATGAATAGTTTTTTCATTAACAAAACTGAACTAAATTCTTTTTAAATACCTCTGTAAAATGCCCCCATTATTCGTGTTTTTGGGGTAGGTCAACTCATTACCAAACTACGCTTCATAATTACCGTTTCGATAATGAGAAACTACGCTGCAGTAAAGATGAAGGATTTGTTTCTCAGTATTTCAACTTAAAATTGGTTTAAAATCTCGGGATCTGTATATGAAGGAAAAAACTTTAATTTTTTTCTGTTATACGGTTAACTGAAACCCTTTTGGCTCAATAGTCAGAAAAGACAGAGAGAAAGCATACAGAGGAAATCTGAGCACATTTTTCATTTATATCTCAAAGATGTGGAGAGAAAGGCTTGAGGATATACTCTGTGATAAAAACGGTACTTTTCTGTAGTTGCACTGGAGGGGAGCTATCAATCTTTGACCCAGAAAGTGTGTGGCTGGAAACTTGTGCAAATGTGCAAAATATTAATTTCTCAATATAATGATATTTAGTATTCACAACAATGCTTAGAAATGCTTCACTTGAGGTGGCTTTCACCAGACATAATAAATGAGACAACAGCAGTACAACGCCGGACAACAACAGCTGATGACTATACATGATGTATGAATACAGACAAAAACTGGTAGCAGCAACAAAACCAACACATTTGACTTGTTGAACCGAACTAATGAGAGTGTGCCAAGCTTTAAATGCTCAAAATTAAGGATTTTGGTTTCCTGTAAAGATTTTAACACATCAATAAAATCCAGAACTATTACCATATAGAGTGGCTGTGGCAGAAGTCCAGCGCTGAGATGATCTGTCTGAAGAACTTCCTGGCCTCTTTGGGTGTTAACCTGCCCTTCTTTACCAGGTAGTCAAAGAGCTCTCCACCTGACACATGCTCTAGAACCAAATATCTGTGGAAGATAAGCAGTAGCAGTAAGAAATCCTGACACGCTTCAAACTCCCAGGACAGATCTACTACCATGCCAATATAAAATATACACTACCATTCAAAAGTTTGTGGTCAGTAAATTTTTTTTTTGAAAGAAGTCTCTTATATGCTCAACAAGGCTTAATTTTTGCCAATAGCACATTAAAAGGAAAAACACAATAAAACAGTAATATTGTGAAATATCATTGCAATTTAAAAGAACTGCTTTCTATTTTAATATTTTTTAAAATATAATTTATTCCTGTGATGACAAATCTTTGGGTTTTCAACTTTTCAACAGCTATTACTCCAGTCTTCAGTGTCACATTATCCTTCAGAAATCATTCTAATACACTGATTTAGTGCTCAAGAAGCTTAAGACATTTCTTATTATTGTCAGTGTCAAAACAGTTGCGCTACCTAATATTTTTGTGGAACTTGTGATATTTTTTTTTCTTTGAAGTATAATTTTTTTTTTTTAATAGAAATAAAAAAGTATTTGTCACATTTGACCAATTTAAAGCATCCTTCCTAAAAAATTACTTTCTTTAAAAAAAATTAAAAAATAAATAAAAAAGTACTGACCCCAAACTCTTGAATGGAAGTCTACAGGGGGCTCCAGTAGTCTGAAACCACTAGTGAACATGCTTCTATTTTGCTTTTTTTTTTTAAAAATTTTTATACATAATTGTTAATTACAACATTTATGAATATAACTTGAGTAAAAGTCAAATTGAATAATGTAATTGATTTAAATAATCTATTAAACATCATAATTTTTTTAATTCCCACATATTTCGGTTCACCGCATGGTATAAATGAAAAAAAAAAGAAAAAATGCATTTCCCACATTTTCAATGAAGTCTCAGAATGTTTGACTCCACTGCATTTGAGTGAACGTGTAAATGTGTGCAAAATATCTTCCTGCAAACCTGATCGGCAAACACATTTATGTCATACTCACGCATTCATGTATTCATGAGATACATGCAGACTCCAGTCACATTTGAACACACGCACAAACACTCACTGACACACCAGACGTCTGATTTATTAGTCGATTAAAGGATTTTCTCATGCGATTACCTGTCAGAAATATTTAAATTAAGGATGGATTCATACTTGATTTGTGTGTGTAAAGATGTTCATAGGCAAATACTTTACGAGCATGCGGCCCATACATCTGTGTCATCTGAATATTAAGAAAACAATTTCCTCAGCTGCATCCATGGTGGCTCCTTTATCAATTATTGAAAACTACATTAAGCCCAGCCACTGGAGCATGCGCACATATCCAGGGATATCAGCGCGTCTGCTCTTCTGTATAGATACAGAGTTTATCCGCCACTCATACACACTCATTTCATGCATTGCATGGTGCATGGATAAACAAAAGTGGCGTATACTCACAAATATTTCTTATTTTCATAGACATCGTGCAACTTCAAAACATGAGGGTGTTCTATGAGCTTCAGAATAGCTATTTCTCTTTCCACCTGTAAAGACAAAGAGAAAAAACGATTAGAAATGTTTCAGTTTTACATACAGTAACAGGAGGTCAGATAAAACACAAGGAGACAGCCTCTGGTTAGTCTGTGCTCGCAGAATGATGTTGTATCGTATTATCTTGCCTAGCCATGCCTAATTAGCATCCCGCCACTTTCATTAAGTGGTTAACCCGTTAATGTAGAAAATAAACAGAAGACAATGGCTGGCGGAAATACACTAGTGCAAGTGCCTGACCTCATAACAAGATGCCTACGATGAAGAGTTCAGCTGAATTATAAGTAGACAGGACTCTAATTGCATTAGTCTTTGGAAAGGGATACAGTAGCCTGATAGGGTGATGCATCATCACAGTTGTCATGAACTGTCCCACATTAGATATTGAGAGCGAGGTGGTAATTAGCAAGCATACAGTCCTTCACCAATGTGTTGACATATTCTTGTGTTGTTTTAGGGAGTGTACACTCCTGCTGCTGCGGGAAAATCCATCTCTTGTTGCTCTGGGGGAGCGCCAGAAATAATTAGACTTCATTATCGGTGGGAATATGGGAACAGCTAATAAGGATAATCCCACACTAATGAAAGTTGCATTGCCGAAGTCGACGCTGCATGATGTCTCCCATCATACACCTGCTCAGAGACTAACCTTGTACAGTGTCCAAGTGAGCCACAATCCTATTAGACACAATCACCTTTCATTTGTACTCAGCCAATCAATACTCTATGGAGCAAAAACAATTACAGAAGCAGAGGTGTTATAAACTGAAAGAGGGAATGTTTTGGCCAGGACAGATGGATGGAAACATAATTTGTCGATATGTAGTAAAGAATCATGTATTTTTACAAGCCACACAGTCTGTGTTCAGGTCAATAACACACCCTTGTCCTGACTTCTTTTAGGTTAAAAGATTACAGTAGCAGTCAAATGTTTTCTCCATCCTTAACTATTACTATTATCCATATTTATTGGTTCTAAAAGTTCCAAAGAGCTTCATACGCACTGAATATGCACCTGTCATACAGCTGTTACATAATATTGTACATTTTAACAAAATTGAAGGAGGTCCCACGTACAGAATAATGGACACTTGTTAGCTACTATTTTATTCCCAATTTGGTCCAATTTATCCATAAATGTAAAATAATAAATGGGGTAATAAAGTGGATAGCACTGTTGCCTCACCACAAGAAGGCCCTGGCTTTTATTTTAGCATCACTGATTATAATTTTTATAAAAAATCTGAATTATTTATTTTTTTATATTTTCCATTTTAGTAATTCTGTTGTGTTTTGTCATTTTTATTTATAATTTGTGTTTTAGTTGGAGTTATTTTAGTATATATATATATATATATATATATTAATTTCAAGTAACAAATAAATTTTTATGGTTTCAGTTTTAGTTAATTAATATAATTACCCTGCTTCGATCCAGGTGAGATCAGCTCCAGCCTCCCCACAACCCTACATAGGACCTTACTGACTGCCTTATATACTGTATCAATCCCTGTCATGGCAACCTTCTCTCAACATTTCTCTCTCGTTCTCACATTCTCTCAGTGTTTTTTTTTTCTTCTTCTTTATTTAGCAGATGGCTTTGAGCTCAGCTTTCGTGAACTATAGAGAGAGAGATAGCTTCTCCCTGATCTATCACGGCACATGATCTTTCTCATTGGGTTTACACAATCACTGTAATCATTCAGGGGCAGGATGCTTGTTTCTGCTCCTGGCAGAGTCTTTGATTATTCCCTGTGCTGCCACCGCTAGTCTCACCTGCATTATGTGTCCTTGCCAATTTGGAAAGAACAAACTGCTTATGAAGCATCTTCTGTGCCAAGACCCAAAATTAATGTGTGCTCGAAGTGGGTGAAAAGGCGAAAAAAAATGCTTAATGATCACATATTAAATCAAATGGACTCTCTGTGCGATCAAGTTTCTCCCGCAGGCCATTCTTGGCCCATGTCAGAGCTGCTTTGTCACATGTTAATGGCAGGATATATTCCTCCAATGTTAGCCCTTAGAATAACATGACCTTTTCTTAATGAATAAGTAGCAAGCCCAACAAATAAGGAGCAATAACAGAGCTCAAGTGTGTGAGTATATATGTGTGCGTGTGTGTTTGAACTGGTTAGGTAAGTACATTAGTTTTTCTACTTTTCACTTATTTCTACGGTTTTGAATTAGCTGATAATATTTTTCATTCCAAAACCCTCAAAATCTATTTTAAATAATTCTATTTAGCTTTAAATTATTATTATTTCAGTTTAAGACTTCAGCTTAAATTTATTTGATTTCAGTTAGTTGCCAAGGAACTTTCTCATTTTTAAAAACTTTCTCATTTTCTAAGTTTAGATTTTTCAGCCAACATATATATATGTGTGTGTGTGTGTGTGTGTGTGTGTATGTATATATATATTATTTCAGCTTAATTTTAGCTAACAAAAACAATTTTTAATCATTTTAATTTTAGGTAACAATAACAACACTGGACCTTACGGTCTTTCACGGTATGGGGAAAAAATTTTTTTTTTTCCAAAATATCTTCTGTTGTATTCTGCCAAAAACATTAAGTTATACAGTCTTAGAACGATATGAGGGTAAATGATGGGTTCATTAAGCTGCTTTTCTCTTTCAGGTTTTACTATCTGCTCATGAGGACATTTGGCCCTCACAATGTAGGAAAAAGGTGACCCATGAACACATACACATACACACACTCTCATCTGTCTGCGGCAGGTGTAAAGCTGTGCTGGCACAGACAAGAGGAGGGCAATCCAAACACACAACATTTACCTGCACGTCAGATCTCTGCCAAACAGCACTTGTGATCACAGGATAATGGAGACTTCATCTTATCAACAAACTCCATTTTTTTTTTTTTTCCAAAATATCTTCTGTTGTATTCTGCCAAAAACATTAACTTATACAGTCTTAGAACGATATGAGGGTAAATGATGGGTTCATTAAGCTGCTTTTCTCTTTCAGGTTTTACTATCTGCTCATGAGGACATTTGGCCCTCACAATGTAGGAAAAAGGTGACCCATGCACACATACACATACACACACTCTCATCTGTCTGCGGCAGGTGTAAAGCTGTGCTGGCACAGACAAGAGGAGGGCAATCCAAACACACAACATTTACCTGCACGTCAGATCTCTGCCAAACAGCACTTGTGATCACAGGATAATGGAGACTTCATCTTATCAACAAACTCCAGTAATCCTGTCTGAATCCAGATGAGTTCAATCCAACTCTAATACAGAGTTAACACTTACTTCAAGTCAAATAAACAGAGACAGCAGCGGTTATGATTTTAATGATCCAATAAAAATACACACACATGTACGCACACATTCATCTGATTATGCGGACAGATAGGAGCGGCGCAGTGATCTGCATCATTCCTCATTATAAAAAAGGAGACTGGCTCACCTCCGTGCCCTTTTTTATTGAGTTTCCATGTTTAACAATTAGCACCACTGTAATAGCATCTTTCTTGCCAACAAAAGTGATTATCAAGTGATTAATTTCCCTAGAGAGAAAGATTTCAGTTTGGGTATGACATAAAATTACAAGGTTAAATGGCCACAAGTCAGTGACATTAATGACATTGATGTATTTGGTTTCAACTGATGACACACAGGGCTTTAGACAGGAAAGAGATTTCATTTCTCCACTGGCTTTGAGCAGAGAGGGAAAAATGAATGACTAATCCCGGATATTGAGAGAGCAAATGGAAGAGAAAAAGAAATGTGTGAAAATGTGTGTGTGTCACAGTACTTTTTTCCCTTTGCAATTCAGATTTAATTAAGAACATTGCGATTTAAACCAGCATATTTAACAGTGTATAATTCAACACGTCCTAAACAAACAACTTACAACCTCTGCCTTTGTTAATGGATTTAACATCATTTATTATGCTCAATTATTGCATGATTTCAGGTTGCAGATGGTGTGTTGATGCATGCTAATAAAACTGCACTTGTGGGGATGGTCACACAACACACAGCAAATGAATGAAGGCAGACAGAGCTCATGTTCTCACAGCTGGGACTGGGACACAACTCCAATATATTGGAGAGGCATCAGATTTTACCCAATAACAACACATTTAACCACACAGCTGTCTGTTTGTTGTGTTTAAAATGTTTGGTTATATGTTATGTGTGACTTTATGGGTGTTTGCAACTATGTGTTTTATTGGCAATTTGCAAAAGTGTGTGTGTGAAGAGCTCATGAAGTGATGATGCGATAGAGGAGGAGGTGTTTGTCTCTTCTCTCCAGAGCTCTGCTGTTCTGTCCAAACTCTCCAGTGCCCACTAGCTGAGCAGCCCTGGCACGCACATACACATACACACACACACACAGACACACACACACACAAAACCAGTCATTCTTACCCATACATAAACATGCATTCACAGACAATTTCAAGCAGAGTTAAGGGGTGACACTAATTTGCAGTGACAAAGCAAATGGAAGTCATTCAAATGATGTAAATAAGTCATGTAAATGAGATTTGGCGATTTCTAGAAACATGACTGACTATGGGGTGATACAGCCACTGAGCAGGGATGCATGATATATCAAAAGTCAAAGTGTTATTGGCCAATAATTGTGCTTTTTAATGTTATCGCTATTGGCTCAATAAATAAAATGGCTGATATATTTAAGCGTATATATTATAGCCAATTGACCATGGGACCCACATAAAATCAAAATAAATAAATTAAAATTAAATTAAATTAAATTAAATTAAATTAAATTAAAATTTTTATTAAAAATGTTCTAAATTTCCCTTATTTAAAAAAATGTAAAGGAATTATTAGGAATAAATTATTAGACTGATTTCTAAGATTGGGCAATATATCAGTTATTGGCTTTCAAATGAAAAAAAAAATTATATATATATATTAGCAATAAATGACTTATATGTCTAAATAGGTCTATATGGTCATGATAGTGGTTTTGCATTTGTCGTTATACAC